GTGGTAGTGGTAGTAGTAGTTGTAGTGGTAGTAGTAGTAGTAGTAGTAGTAGTAGGAGTAGTAGTAGTAGTAGTAGTAGTAGTAGCATAGTAGGAGAATGGTGGTAGTATGGTAATAGTATAGTAGTAGTATAGTAGCAGTAGCAGTAGCGGTAGCCGTAGCAGTAGCAGTAGCAGTAATATTGTCGTCGTCGGCGTCGTCGACGTCGTGGTAATAATAGCAGTAGCAATTTAAGAGAAAAAGCACCTGGCGTAACAACACTAGTTACAATGGATGTTTACAATTAGAATTTCCAGGATATCTTGATGTATTCATGTTGGGTAGCACGGTCGTCTAGCTGTCGAGCTTGCTCTCACGGAAGTGCACATGTACAGGCTGTGGGTACTGCCTTTGTAGAGGTAATGCCGGTTTGAGATTCCATGGCCTTTGGCCCCTTTCTCAGGAGTGAAACGCAGGCAACGTGAAACCTGGCTGGAAGTGGCGAGGGCCTCCAGCTCTCTGCCCTTGGCTCTACAGAAGCTTAAGACGTCTTTGGAAGCTCGGGTTGGGGCAGAAGAGCTTCGGAGGCTTCGGCTCGAAGCACTGATGCTTGCAAGCTCACGAACTGAAGCCAACAGCATACGAGCTCAAGAAGACTGGGGCGGCGCCTGTGTGAAGAAAGCGACCTGGAAGGCAAGCATTGCATCAGAAACTCTCACGACTCGGAGCTTATGGAAACACAAAGCAAGCAGCCTGGCGACAGTCGCCATGATCACACATGACCAACACACAGCCGAAACTAAAACTTGAAAGATCTTGCGCACGGCATATGAAGCATACTTCTAAATATGTACTGACGAAGGAGATTTGCCGAGTAGCAATCTGAAACGTCCTCCAAACATGGAAACTCCACTTGCCATCACTCGGGATGATGGCTTGACAAGGTGCACAATGCTAAGAAAGCGGCAGGGGCACACACATGCGGAGTATTGGAACTCTAACCTCTCCCGAAGTCACCTCATCGGCCACTGCCCGGGCGGGAGGCGGCTGATGGCCTCGGCCATAGGATTCTTCTTGGCAAACTCGAGTAACTAGAGACTCTGTAGATTGGGTTGGGGACTTCGAGGCTCCTGGCGAGGCTGGGTCTAGGGAAATGCCACCCCTACTTCAGTGCAGGGCCTTGGATATGACCAAGAAAATATCGAAATCGACTGGGAAGTCATGATCCTAGACTCGCAGTAACCTCCGCTTGCTTGCATTCCAGGTGGCGGCCGCGAGGGCATGGCGACGCCACGCTCTGCACAGAGGTTTTCGAAGAGGGGAAGCACGTCCTCGCCAAGTCCAATGCTTCGGGGGGCTGATGGAGACATCATGGCATTGAAGCCCGGGAGGTTGGGAGCACGATCGCATCGGGCGTACGTTCGCGAGTACTGGTCAACAACATCCGCCACCGAGACACCGCATGCCCCGACTCACAACCCCTTCGACCCCGGAGTCGCACCTCCCCGTAGTCTTGGAGCGCGTTGCCTCGGAATTGTACGTCATAAACTCAAGAGGAAGGAGGTGAACTACCTTCTCCAGGGCTGCGACCCAATGTCTTAAGCGAAAGGCTTTCAGGCAAACAGACGCCAACAATGAAAACAGCAAACCCAAGGCCTCTCACTTGCTGCGCGAGAGGCTGAGAGCAAAGAGAAGACTCTGGTTCTGCTCTCTCAGACCTCTGGCCTGCGCGGAGAACCGTGGCACCATCGAAAAACAAAATCACGGGGGAGGAGGGAGGGAAGGGGGGAGGGGGTATGGAAGTACGTACGTACCTTGGGATTCCTTTTGGGTGGGTGGGGAAGGGGAACATCTTGGCCACGTTTCAGTACGAAGCTCGATGACAGCTTGTCAAGTTTGTATGCTGGCGAGATCTTAGTTTCATGTCCAGTTACACCTTGCCGAAGATAGGAGCCTCAGGCACTGCTTTCCGTTGAAGAAGGAATACCACGGCTTACTACGGGCCCAAGACCACCGCTGGACACAGGCATCTAAGCATTCGTGAAGGCAGTTGGCAACAGGAAGGGTATAGGCCGAGGCCAGAGCTTAGTCTGTTGAAGGACCCGCTGTCCATGGTTAGGATAGCCCCTGCGCGATTCAGTTCCTCTTCAAGTAAATACCACAAAAAAGAAGCGGCTACCTTGCCTCGAGTCCTCGCAGATCGTGTGTTTAGCAGAGTGACACCGAATCAACACATGCCACGTTCGGCCTGCCGTCAAAAACTTTAAGCTCCAACAGTTCAACAGCTGCCCTGAGTCCTCTCGCTTGAAACCCAGCCCTCGAGCCTTCACGTCAACTGCAGCAGCTGCTTCGGGGGCCAAGTCCACGCCGGACTGCGGTTGCATTTGAGGCCCAAGCCAGTCCCCTTACACTGAGTCTAAAGACGTCCCCCCAAAGCCAGGACCCCGAGCCCCCAAACTTCGAAACCCGTGGCAGGCTGTCGCTGCGTCTAAACCGACGTCGAGGGGTGTTTGGGGGGACGGCGGTCGACAGGGCTGCACATGCAATTGGAGCAACTGATAAACTCTGATTCATCATTCTTCAATCATATCACTACATGAACAGAAGCATGAGCTGCCTTGTGATCTTGCTGCTAGTGCCGCCGCTCGCGGAAAACATGACATTATATCATATCTGACTGCACGAGTACGAAAATCAGAGATAGTTGTTGACATGGTCTCAAGCAGGGAACCCCTGGTTTCGAATGTTTGGTACAGTGTGAACCATCACTCCCAGTGTATCTCCAGTGGCCAAAGATGGAATTAGTGCGGTTTAGGGAAGTTTAGGGTTATGCTTAAGCTGTGCAGTCGGCTACAGCCAACCTGAAACCGCGAGAACGACAAACGGGGTTTAACGCAACCCCCACTCCCCACATTGCCTGGATGGCCCGCGTCTGCGCATTGGCCAAGGTCTCGGACGAAACGGGTTGAACACTCATCGGAAGAGGACACATCGACAGTTCAGCTAAGGTCTACGCCGAGATCGTGGCTGGGCTTAAGCGCAGGAAAGAGCGAAAATGTTAGTCTAAAACTACCGGCTTGTCAAGATACGATGGCGGTGGGGGAAAGCTCTAGGAAACCTCAGAAACCGTTTGCTTGCAAACCTCACGGAATCCGGCTCCTTCAATGCAGATCTGTACCGTGACACAACGGCCAGATCTGGTTCAACCGCCAGCAAGTTCGTTTGAGCTCCCTTCTCCACAACATCAGACCCTGTTATTCCACGTTCGGAAATCTCCTGCCTGCTGCGCACGCTCAATCTTCGGCGCCTGGTGCATGAGCGATCCAACAACTCTCCCCCGCTGAATGAAAGACACTTCTTTGAGAACAAGCCAGACAGACATGTTGAATAATGCAGGGGTCTTAATCATTAGGCAAAAACTGTTGGGATATATAGTACACGATAGTCATGATAAGGAGCCCCTGTATTTACAGTTCTTCCGACCTCTATCGTATGCTCTCGGCGTACTCAGAGCTGCACTGGAATGAGAAGATTGTCCTTACACCGACCATTTGGCGGTACAACCTGTCAGTGCTACTACTCGAGCTCGTATCCCTAGAGCCCCTCAACATCGGCGCCTGTGTGCCAATGTCCTGCCGGAGGACCTGTGAAGGTCACTTCTGCAGTATCTCTACTCATGACACAGCTGACCGTGTGCCTCTGCGAGGTAATCCAAACGCATTTCTGGTTAGGTTGCCCAGACAGCCAAGCGCAGAGCACCCCAAGACCCTCAAACCTCGAACGCAGTGTTCTGAGCAACCCAACCACGCCGCAGAGTTTGCCAAGCCCCTGACGTCACGGGCTGCAGTCAGCTCGTTCACATGAGCCTGAGCTCCCGATTTGTAAGCTCAAGACCAGGAACCTTCGGGGCTTGGGGCTCTGCGCGTGGGCCCGGTGAAGGCAAGAGGTCCAAGGTCTACAAACCGGAGCAGATGAGTCGATTTGGAAGTCTCTGGAAACCAAAACCCCTAAACTGCGAACCCATAAACCTTCAACCACTAAACCCTGTACGCTGCTGTAGACCCTGAGAATCTTTCCAATCAAGAGCACTGAGACATAGCCAAGGCTGGAGCCTCCATCTGCTGCATGGACCTTTGCAGCTCCTGTTTCGATCGCACCGTGTGTTAGAGGCCATCCCAAGGGAGCTGCACTTCACGCCGCTTTTTCGTCACAGCGCCCACGTCTTCTCCTTGTTCTAGCTGCGTAGCTGCTACTGGCAGCGTCACGATGAAGATGAGTACGAGTACGACAGCATGAAGATGAGATGAATGGTGGTGGCTGTGATGAGGCGAGGATGAGGCCTGATGCCGATGATGACGGCCATACATGCAAAAACTCACACATTGGGATCGGATCTTCTGGCTCGTACAGGCGATCTGTCCTCGTAGCGCTGCACGTCCTCCTGGGCCTTGACGTGCATGGAAGGCATGGGAATGTTTTGTCGGCTAAGCTGCTAGGCTTCCGCGTTCCATGGAAAGCTTTGCAAGCCTTGGGAAGCCCAATGCAACATAATGGCTTTGCCTGCCTCTCAGGGTCTGCCCAGCTTCGCCCCGTTACACCAGCTCCTCACTTGTCCCTTGCATATTCTGTGTGTGTGTGTGTTCTTCAAGTCAGGGGCAGTCCTTCCAGTCCAACATTACAGGAAGCTTACTTCAAGTGTTGATGCTCGTGACCTACCTCTTTTCTATAGCCGCTACTATTAGCTTCCCACGACCACTTGCACCCAGCCTCTTGCTCCAGCTGCGTCAGCACCTGGCCATCTCTGCGTGTCAAGCATGGCTGAATGCCAGACCATGCAGAGTGACAGAAGCAGACGCACGTTGGTCTCTTTCTCGAAAGCTCTCGAGCTTTAGCAAGGGCGGTCTTCCTTTCGATTCTCGTGCCCTGCGACCGCGCCTTCTTCTTTTTGAAGAGGACCTCGTTTGCTGCCCTGGACTGCTCCTCCAGCGTCTGTTTCTCCTGGTGAGCAGCATAGGTCTGGCTGCCACTTGGGAATTTTTTGGGAGGGTTTAAAGAGTCCCAGGATTCGTCGTTTCGGAGCCTAGCAAGTTGACAGCGCCTGTCTCTATGACGTAGTTCCACATGTTAAGCCGATCATCAAGTCAGTCCGAAATTTCACGCCAACTTGCCACAGATGAACACGAACCAAGATCGACAACCCGAAGTCTCTTTACTTGGCGTTCGCCGGGTGTCGGGATCCCAACCGCCTAGTCAGCTCGTGTTTTTAAGAAGCACGAGCTCCCTTCCTACCGAGCCCAGGATCCTCGAGCTCGGACTGGTTCTGCATGTTCGAGGTCTGCAAGTTCTCCTTGAACTTCTGGTTCCGCTGCACCAGATGCCCCTGATTCAGAGATCGCTTCAGGATTCAGCTGCCGAATCGAATCTGAAATTCCACAGGAAGACTGCAGCAGCCCCATCTTGGCCGGGTCTTCCAACGGCCGTCGATTTCGCTCAGGCATGAAACCCTTCCAAAACCCTGAAACAGAAGGTACCTGCTTGGCAGCTACAGGACAGTTGTCTTCACGGCCAATCCACAATCCATTCGGAGAGCAGCGCCTATGAAGGCTACCTTAGTAGCGCCTTTCAGCCCCAAGTCTGTTTCACCTGAAACCTTCGATAGTCTTCCGGACAAGCTCTGGAGGAAATCTACATGGCAGTGGTGATTTCTGCTGCCGGTGCCTTGGTGGAAAAGCTTCGAATTACAGATCCTCAAAGCAGATGGGGTCCCCCGAGGCCGGCACCAGAGTGTTCTCCAGAGATCGGATCTCCTGCAGCAGCGAACCCGTTTCATGCCAAGTTGAACCATCTATGCCAAAGTGGTGCATCCATAGTTACATGTGTAAACAGTATACATACACACGAATGTTACATGTACAAACATGTTTGTACGAGAGTATGGGTGTGTGTGCGTGTGTGTACGTGTATGTATACGTACATCTACATCTAGGTCTACATTACATCTACATCTACGACGTGTGCATCTACATCTACATACACATACACACATAGACATACATCTACACATTCGACATACATGCACTGTGCAACTTTGATCGCTTACCTAGTCGTTTACTTCAGTTGTGTCTGATTGTTTGCATTGTCTCTGCCTTCATTTATTTCGGCCATCAAGAAAGATCTCGAACGACACTTAGAGCAGATCCGGTACCTTCCCTTGCCTCGTATCAGATCAAGAGCCAAGTTTGCCGGTATGCTCTTTAAGATCGGTTCGAGCTTGGGCGTGAATGTGGGTTCTTGATCCTGGGACACATCCACGCATAAGAGTCGTTTAATCTCCCCAGAAACGTGGATTGGAACAGATGGCTTGCAAGTAAGGCATATAAGGCATAGTCAGAACTCAGGCTAGTTCGCAGGCCAGACAAGACCTAGTGTCATCCTTCATGACTCCAGGAGGTGATTCAGGGAAGCCCCAACCCTAAAGCTTGATCTTCAAACCCTAAACCCTGATATATGCCCCAAAAGCTCCAAAAGCCCCAAATATCCCAACCCAATAAACCCCTTATATCCTAAACCCTAAACCCTGCACTAAAAAAAGGAAAACCCCTGGGATCCTTCTCAGCCCGGCGGATCTTGTCGTCCAATTCGTCTCCTTTCCTCTGCAGCTCCTCCTTCTCTTGGGCGGCCTTTTAGGCGCAGGGCTCCGTGCGCCAGGGCTTGCAAGGGCGGCTTGGCAGGGCTTGGCAGGGCTTGGGGGGGTTTCGGGCTCCGGTTTTTTTGCAGTTTGGGTTTTTGTTTTGATTTGTTGCTGGGTTTTGGGCTTGGGATTCGGGCTTTCGGGCTTGCGACGTCTGGCGTGTAGTGTTGGACGGAAGGTGGCACTTCGTTTGGTAACTCCTGGATGCTTGCTGCTGACCTCTGGCTTGGTGTGCTTCCGAGCAGGGGCACGGGGCACGGGGCCGTTTGTGCCAGCACAACAGCACTCCGCCACAACTCAGCCAGCCGAAGAGTGAACCAAGAAGTCTTTCACTCAAACTTACTGTACGGGAACTTGGTTGGTCATTCCGGCTGGGCCTTCACAATAAATGCCAATTACTAACTAAGTCTTCGACAGTATAAGAGCTGCACCATGCACATCGGGGAAGGCAGGATTAAGAGCTCCCGCATAGAAAAGCCCCGTTGAAAAGCACACCTTGATCATGTAGTGAGCTTGGCTCAGCTGCTCCCCGCCCTCCTCCTTCTTCACCTCGACACTCGAGAAGTTTGGGAGGAAAAGCGCTTGTGGGTGCACTTCTAGGGCTCCAGTAAGGAGCCTCTGCTGACCGCTGCAAGTTTCTTTCTATGCCGCTGCGCAAAAGGTCTTACGAGATCATGCCATCAAGTCAGTACCAGCATAGCCAGCAGCAGCAGCAGCAACGTCAGCATCAGCATGACCACCATCACCAATGCCGAGGCGTGACTGGACACCCTCCAGTAGATAAGCCCGCGCCCGAATACGGACTACAGCCGCGGTTTGCCTAAATTCAAAATTCTAGACCTTCAGCAGGAGGAATGCGTGGGAAACAAATCAGGTGCGTATAATCTGTGCGTCTCTAAGTGCGAGCTGCAACGAGCGCGCCTTGCACATGACGTTGTCATACTTGCTCTTCCTGGGCTTTCGATCGAAGGGTCATGTTATGTTGCGACAATGCCAGGACCATGAGCGAACAAGATCCTGCCTGCCTACAGCTTGATTCCGCGAACATGAACTTCAAAACCAGCAGCCCCGGCAAACCAGAACACAAGCTCCGCAACCTGAAGTCGACACAGACTGAAATGTTTGAGGTACGCGGGGATTCTGAACGGGATCTGCAACTTCCTGCATTTGTCCAGGGCCTCTGCCGTGGGAATGTAAACAACACATGACACATCGCATAAGGTTCAGAGCCCATGCTGGCATCCCCCTAACAGTCTAACTCTAAGCAGCCCTTTCACTCGCCGTTCGAACAGGGCACAATGTGAAGATCTTCTGCTTCCTCTCCGCCAGCTCAATCGCTGCCTCACGGGCGTTCATGGGCCTCCTTTCCTCCTTCCGGCCTTTTTGTGTTAGGTCCTAAGTGGATGGGTACATGAGCTTCGTGCATGGCTACAGGGCTTTGGATGTGCACCATCTGCAGTTCCATTCAGGCCGTCATGCCACCCTCGGATGCCCCGTGCAGGCCTTGTGTTTCTCTTCCTCGGCAGACCGGAGCTGTGCTCTCAAGACCTGGACGGCAAGAAACGCAGAAGATGCCCGAAATCCGTCTGATGAACTAGCACGCGACAGGACACCTTCCTGACGGCCTTAACTCGAAAGGCCGATGTCCGAACGAACCACGGCCTCAGTGTGCACTTCGATCTCCTTCTCCCTCTCCTTCCATGAGCTTCAAACTGCTCTGAAGGATCGGGGGATGATTGGAAGTAAAGTCGGGGATTAGCGCAGGCCTGGCAAGAGCTCCATGGGACGGTTGAGGTCCTATCTCCCCCAGCCAAAGCAACACCTGGTAGCCTCAATGTACCTTTGGGGCCGGCCGGCTTCCTTGAATCCTTGGAATGTCTGTGCGAAGGACAGGTGGGTTTAGGGTTTAGGATTTAGGGTTTAGGGTTTAGGGTTGTCCTTCAACGTCAATCATCAATCATCACCCTTAGCCAAAAGCCCAAGCTGGACTCTTCCACCCTCACGCCCGACTCCTCGACTCGAAACCACTCAAGCAAACAAGCCACGACAATCAGGGACAACCTGGCCTCCATGCTGATTTGGAGCTGCTGCTTTCGATTTTCCAGGCTGTACCTCCCGTGTTTGGAACAACTAGGTGTGTTGGGGTCTGGTAAGTCTCGTGGGTTTCAAGGGTTCCGGGCCTATACATAGGTCCAGGTTCTTTTTGTGCATCTTTTTGGTTTTCCTGGGTATTGACAACTGAGGCTGTACTCGAGGTCTGTTTTTGAATTTGTTTTTTGGTTTTCGGCCTACTGGCCTTCGGCCATCGCTCGCTCACTCAGTCTGTAAATCCGACGGGCCGACTGCCAGCCCTGCCAGTCTACCCGGTTGCCCCGTGCCAGTGCTCTGGGCGTCTCGGCTTTGTGGCTTTACGTTCTTGATGGCACGATGGTCTTGAAAGCAAGCTTGCGCGGTCCAAAGCGAAAGCGGAAGAGTTGGGCCTTTAGGACGGGCTTTGCAAGGCCTCATACGAGGTAATGAAATCGCGAATGGGGAAATAGCGTTCTTGCCGGTGCGAAGTTCACAGGGCTTAAGAAAGCGGGGGTTGGGGGGTCGGACTGGCGGTTCTTCATATCTTGAACACCTGCCCTCGTTTGACGATTCGGTGCAACAAATATGTTACACACGCCCCCTCGATTGGCGATTCCAGTTCATCATATATCTTAAACATGCGTCCTCATTTGGCGATGTCGGCTCATCATACATGTCAAACATGCCCCCTCATTTGGCGATAACGGTTCAGCATATATCTTAAACAGGTCGCCTCCTTATTTGCTGATTCCGGTTCATCATATCTCTTAAACACGCCTCCGCGTTGGCGATAACGGTTCATCACATGTCTTAAACACACCCTTCATTTGACGACAACGGTTCATCACATATCAAATGCGTCCCCTCTTTTGGCCATAACGGTTCATCATATATCTTAAACATGCCCCCACATTTGGCGACAACGGTTCATCCTACATCTTAAGCACGCCCCCTCGTTTGGCGATATCGACTACACCGGTTCGTCACATATCTTAAACACGCCACCTCACTTGGCGATCCCGGTTCATTATATCTTTTAAACACGCCCCCCCTCTTTTGGCGATTCGGTTCCTCATACATGTTCAACACGCCCCCTCACTTGGCGACTCCGGCTCACCAAAAGTATATCTTAGACACGTGATGACACGTGCTCTCATGTGGCCAGTCCGGTTCACCACATATCTTGAACACGCCGGCCCTTTATTTGGTGATTCCGGTTCATCATATATTTTGAACGCGCCCCCTCAGTTGACGATAACGGTTCATCATATATCCTGAACAAGCCGCCACCCCCCATGAGGCGACAACGGTTCATTACATATCTGAGACCCAACCCCTCATTTGCCAACTCCGGATCATCATGCATGCTGAACATACCCCTCATTTGGCGATTCCGGCTCACCATATGTCTTAGACACGCGCCCGCATGTGGCGAGTCCGGTTCACCACGTATGTTAAACACGCTCCCCCTTATTTGGACTGACTGACCGACTGACTGACTCATCGCTCCCTCTGGACGACCGACGGACTGACTGACAGCTCGGTTGGCAGACCGACTGACTGACTGGCTGACTGAGCGACCGCTGGGGTTGCTGACTGACTGACCGCCCCGTTGTCTCACCGACCGACTGACTGACTGGCTGACTGACTGACTGACTGACCGCTCGGTTGGCTGACCGACTGACTGACCGCTCTTCTTTGGACGACCGAATGTAACCGAAAACAAAAACTACCAAAAGAACAAAAAATACCCAAAAAGAACCCCACCCCCTATACATGATCAGGGAACAAAGCTGTGAGGCGACGCTGTGCTGCGGGACTGTTGAATCTTCGCATGAATATGTGACTGCACAAACTAGCAAAGCCCACCGAAGCAACTACTGCGACCCGCTGCCGGGGCGGCAACACTTAGCGGAACCGCTCAAAGAATTGCAACTCAAGCTGCAAGATAGACACGGATGGATGACACCTCGACTTGTAGAAATGTGCCCGGACATGGCACGTGCCGTCATTAGACATCAATTATGCCGTGAGAATACAGTGAGAAAAGAAATCAAGCTGCGATGCATGTGACGCAAAGACAAACCCCAAGCCTACGGTAACAAACACCACGTCCGGAATGACAATGGGAGCGCACAAATTCTCAGACTTGGTGGTAAGCTGCTGCCGAAGCCGTTTGACCTGCAGCTGATATCATTCAACCATCCACACAAAGGAAGCTCCCAAATGCCGGGGGTCCAAAGTTCACTTCGACTTTTGGGGGCTGTTACATGCGAAGGCTCACGCACACAGGCTAGGTCGCGCATGCGGCGAAAAAGTCTGTCGTCCTGGCCTCTAGCCTGAGGATGTCATGCTGCATCATCGACTCCTCCTTGTCCTCATGTTGCGTGTGCTTGGTAGGAATCCTAGCACTCTTTTGTGACATGTCATTTTGGGCCACCCAAACTCCGCAGATGCAGCTGGAGACTGATTCCAGCATTCCAGCATTGTCCCAGCAATGCGCTACATCTCACCCTTGTCCGAAATTCGATACCTCTGTGTCATCACGCAGGGACCAACATTGTTTACGCCATTATAACCCACAAGCGCACCGCAAATGACCCATGCGAGGATCCCCCTGCGCTCCCCCAGTCCTTGACCGTCTTCGCAACTGCACCTTGCACGACAACGCAGGAAATAATTTAGCGGAGCCATCGCAGCCCCAAGTCTGCAAACGTGTCTCACGATTCTCAGACGGCTGCTACGTTGACATGGGAAAGCTTGACTGACCGTGCAGATTGCAAGTGCATCCTCGACACGTTCAACTGTACCACCGATACTACGTGATGCTACCGTCAACCCCAATACGCACTAATTGCCGCGCACCTACGCATGTAAAGCCGTAATGCCCCGGTAAGAAGGCATCTCTTAGATGTGGGCACACGCAGGCTATGCCCTGGATATAGAAGGAATTCCCGGAAAGGCCAGGTGTGGCGCGGTTCATGATGGTGTTCTGCAGCTCCAGCTCTTCCATGGTTGTTTTCATGCCCTGGCATGGCCAGCACAGTCCAGGTCTGCTTTATCAAACATGCTGTGGCAGGCTGAGGGAACATCCCTTGAAGAACATGAGAGGCAGCTTACAGGCTCTCTGGACGCGACAGTAAACCTGACCTGAGATCCTATCGAACGCAATCCGACCTCCCGAACACAGCTACAGTATTTGGCTTCTGCCCCAGAACGCTGCAATTCTATGCCTAGGTGCCAAGTCCGCCTGCTGAATCGCTCATTTAGAACACTAGCTCCGAGCAGCCTTGCCTCACACTCCTTCTTCACGTTGCCGAGATACCGTTGGGAATTTTTCAGCTCTGCGTCCTGCAAATGAGGATTTGGGCCAGAAAGATTGCTCGTTGGGATGCCCATGAGCCAGATTAGCTAAAACTGCCAGCACTAAAGCCTAGCTGGTGTCAGTCTGTTGAGCGAAGATGGGCTGTCCAACAGCATCTCCAGTTCTTGCAGTCTTATGAACTTGCACCGGGGCAATTTGCAATTACAGTTATAGTATTCATAGAGTACTTCTTCATGGTTTTGGCTGATGAGAGATGTGCTGGCGTGGTCTCGGCTCTCCACCATAAAACATCGCTTCGTCCTGCTATCCCAAGGGAGCATACACCTTTTTTCGAGCGGGTGAGAAGGGTGAGGCGCTTGAACTGCCACTGCCCGGCTCCTGCACAAAGAGGGGCAGCGGCACTGCGGCACCTTGGGGTCCTTAAGTTGGGCTCAGGCGGCACCCGCCGCGATGGGAAAGACGTTGAAGGCGGCTTTCCTCTCCTCTCGAATCTCGTCGGGCAAAGATCTTGGCCGGTCCGGGGGCCGCCTCTCGCCGGCAAGGAGAGACGACACCGTGGCATTCTGCTTCAGCTCCTGGGCCCAAGAGCGCACCTGCTTGTCCAAGGAGTCTGACTTCTCTGCCACCGGCTTCTCCTCGACCTTTCCCCCCACCTGCAGGTCCACCCCACCAACAAGAATGCAAGTGGTGCGGACAGCGTTGCAGTCGACAGCAGCCGCGTTCCGCTTCTTCGTAACCATGTCCAGTTTCTGCTGTGCAGACGTCACGTAAGCGTTGTAAGACTCCACTGCGGCTTTGTGCTTCTCGAGCAGCTGGTTGTATCTCGCTACTTCAGAGTTGTAAGATGCCACCGATGTGCTGCTGGACTGGTCGAGGGTCTTGCGAGTGGCCTCTATGGCATCTTTCTGCCTCTCTGCCGTCATTCGAGACTCCTCCAAGTGTGAATGTTTCTCTTTCCGGATTGCCTGCACCTCGGCCATAAGGGCGTCCAGCTCCTTGTCCAGCTTGTTGAAAACAGTCTCTTCCCGAAGCCCGGTTTCATGTACCGCACGGAGGGCAGGCACATTCTCGTCCGGAAAATCCTTTGGCACAGAGAACTGCGGGATGCAGTGCCTTGTCGCAAGGTCTTTGGATCCAATGTGGTTCTCCAGCAGCCACTGCGACACTGCAAGTAAGGCTGCCATGCGCTTGCAATGAAGAAGCTCTGGCACAAAGCGGGCCACTGCATCGTAGTTCCGGCTAAGATACTCGGCCACGCGTGCAGCTGAGGTGTGAGGCTGCGCATCTTTCGCATCCTCGAAGCTGTTCGTTTTGGCATTAAAGGACTGGGCCCGCACTTCACAGGCCATCTGCACATCCTCCGGGCAGATCAGGAGCGCGCTCCGACCCACCGGTCCTTGAGATTCCGGCCCTACTCGCAAGGGATAAGTTAGAAGACCCACAAACAAAAACGATAGTCACGGCTTATAGGGCAAGGGTCGTGTGACCATGCTGCGGCACACGATCCAGAGCCTGGCGCAGCCTGCATCGCCTTGGCCGGCCTCGACTGTGTGGAGTGCAGTGTGTCTGTCTGAAGGCTTCAGACCTTGGGCCCTCATGTTCACCCTCCTAGGAGGACGCGGTGGTCCGGGACCTCACCCGAAACAGTAACCCCGGCCCCAACCAGTGACACCTCGGGAAAGTCGGCGGGAACGTCTTCTCCACGTCTCAGAGCACGCCTGCGGCCAGTGGCATCATCATAGAACATACCTGACAAAGGGTCTTGGAGCTCAGACCTGACTGGAGAAACTTCAACAAGACCCAGCACAACATGCATCATTGTAAAACTGTTCGTGCCTTTGCAGGTCTTAGCTTTGCACCCTTGCAAAAGAGGGAGTGCCTTGGTATTGCTGGCTTCAAACGAAGCTGGCGGGCCTTGAGAAAGCTGCTTCAGCTTCCAGTCCGCCCGCCACATCCAGTAACCCAGGGGCATTTCCCGCAAGGTTGTGTCGGAGTACCTTGGCGTGGAAAAGCTTATCGAGCTTGGGACTGGTAAACATCTCTGAGAGAAGCTTACAGGTTCCAGCCTCGGCGATATTGCCCGGCATTGGAAGGATTGGGTCAGCTGGCTACCGTCAGTGACTGTCTTCTCCGAAAACTACCCGCCAAGCACGCGTGTTCACTTGCTCCTCCCTGAATCCTCTGAGCAGACGCACGGAGTATCCCGAAGCTCTTCCCTGTCCACGGGACCATTTCCGCTGAAAGAGGCCGTCAACAGAGTCCCCGCGCTCCTTCAAGAGTGTCTCGAGGGCACCGCGGCTCGTTGTTTTCAGAGTTCAAGGTAGCTTTCACACGAGGTTTATTGCTTTTGACTCAACGTTAGAGGACCTCATAGTGCTCAGTGACTTCGACTCCAGGCGTGACTCCTCGGAAGATAATTGAAGAGTGATGCAGCTGCTGGAAAGGCCTTCATCTTCATCTCCCAACACTTTCAGAAATCACCTCATGTACCGAATTCATAGCCCTTACCCGCCCGTTCGCCAATCAGCCTCTGTCGAGAAGATGAAAGGAACATGTGTGTAACAGGATAGGGAGTACGGCCACGGCCTCAAAAACCCTCGTAATGGACCAAACCGCGCACCACATTGTCTGGTGTGCCACGCTGCTATCCTAGTTCAGTCTGTGTCTATGTAGTTACATGATCTGCAGTGCACTAGATCATTCCCTATATGACAGGGGTCTTGATACATACATACATGATACTGGATTGTTTATGTGTTTGTACATCTGCTTAATTTTCTTTACTTGCCATTTGTAATTATATTGGGTAGTTCTCTAAATTAGGGGCCCTGTTTAGGTCCCCAATATAGTATGGCACCCTTATATAAAAGGACCCCAAAAGGGACCCTAATTTAGAAAACTACCACATGGGCGGTTGTCAAAATTATGGTCCCTTTTTGGGCCCTTATTATAATACGGCACCCATTATTTAGGGTACCCCAAAAGGGACCCTAAGATAGAAAACTACCCACATAGGTTTCGTAAGTCTGTCTATCAAGAGCTCCTGCCAGCGCTTCGGATCCACAGGGTCCAGGCTAAAGGCAACCTGAAGTTGCGGAATACTGGGCTTCTGGTGTATAACCTAAACCCTAAACCCTAAACCCTAAACCCTAAGGCTTAAGGTTTTAGATCTTAGGTTCTCTTAGGGTCTTCTGGGCTTGGGGTTGAGGGTTTGGGAGGAGGGGCTCCAAAGACTCTAAGGTGAGGCTTTAGGACCTTAGAAGGTTGAGAGCTGCAGCTTTGGTTCATTTTCCTAGGGCTGGGGATTTGGGGTGCTAAACAGCTAGAAGTGTAGCGGCTTAGAGTTGTGAGTTTCGAGCTTTGGGGCTTACGGCATTCGGGCTCAAATCCTTGAGCTGAAGGGCTTGGAGCCGCTTTGGGTCTTCCGGAGGATTTCTGCGAACAAGGCTGGGGGCTTAGGGTTCTCAGGCGTAGGGGTTGATGTTCGAAGATCCGCATACGGCCCTCACCCGAACGCAACGTCCCTCCCAGGGTGCGGCCCACTGTCGTCAGTGGGTCATAGGCAGAGAACGGACTTGGGGCTTAGGCTCACGCCTCATCCCAAGAAACTTAGTTACAATGACGCCGAAGGCATGGCCCTTCCATCAAAACAAGCGTGTCCTACACTCAGCGCTCATAGCTTTCTAGTGCCCTCGAAAGCAGGAAAGCAACGCTCACACCCGTAGCACTTACAGCACTTCTGCCTTTTTGGCATACTATGCAAAATCTCTCGGGGCTCAAACCTGCCCGGCCCGCTGCGGATTTCTTCGCGCCCATTCCAGGGTGGTTCCGATCCTTGGGGTTCAGGGGTTGCGAGATAAAGGGTGTGGGGACGCGTGGGGAAGCCATGCGTGCAAGCAAGATGAGCACGAATGCTACTTCCAATATTGGAAACTATACGTAGTGAATTCGGCTTGTCAGATGAAGTTCCTTCTTGGCGGGAGATTTGATGTTGACATGCCAGATGGATCTGTGAGAATGACATGACTTCCAGGATCTTCCAGGCATGCAGGTCCGAATTTTGCCGCGGTCGCCTACACTCTACCTGGCAGGGGGCCACATCCTTAACTTGGAAGTTCGTGCAAGGTCGGTGCAATAGGTTCGATTATGTGTGGAGGATGATTGCCACTACAGTGCTGGACCAGGTTGTGCTATCGCTATTTTTTCACGGCCATGGCTCTCTGTGGCAGTGAAGGCCATCTCACGGCCATGGTTTGACGGCATCTGAAACAGCAGGCCAGATTGCTTGTCGTAGTGAAGCAAAAGCGGTCCACTCGTGGGGTTTCCGCGCAGCTTCGGTTTGCCCGGCACCGAAGCCATGGCCAAGTCCACTCCTCCAAGTCCCCCCATGGGGGCCTTAGAGGCAGTTTTGGTGCTTCGTGCCGCAGGTTCGAAGGGGAGTGAGGGCCGCCGCGCTTCCGAAGGCCTTGGCTTTCTTTCTGTAGCCGGCTTGTAGCCTGGCTGTGCTGTGATCTCCAGGTTCCTAGAAACGTCCTCCACGAATTTCCTCATCGCGGCCAGCTCTGCCTCGATGCGCGGGCCGATGCTGATCCAAACAGGCCCGACCTTCACAGAGACCGGGGTCTTGTCCGGTTGGCCCGACTTCTCTTCTCCACTCCTGGGCCGCAAGGTGGGAGGTTGCTTGGGAGCGCTCTGCGTGTGGCCCTGGCTGTACCTTCGATCTGGAGCTCCCTGCCATCCCACTGAGCCCACGGGTGCCATGGCTGTACACGAATTGGGGGATTTCTGCAGACTCGCCGCCTGATGCTGCTTTGCAGCTGGGAGGCTCGAGAAGCGTAGCAGAGATGAAGTCAAAGTGAAGCACTCCAACGATGCCACAAGCCCCACTTCAAGAATCAATAACAGGCATTCGCCGATCGAGAACTTTCCAACAAACAATCGGGAAGGAGGGTCCAGACCACAAACGCTGACGCTTTTCTCCTCCAAGCTTCGGCAGCGAAGTTAAACCCTAAACCCCGAAACTCCTAAACCCCTAAATCCCAACAGCCTCTTTTTCAAGCAGCCAGAGTCCTGGCGTTTGATCTGCGCTGAGAGGATGGTGTGGAGGGACTTCTGCTCCTCCAGCTGCTTGTCGAGCTGCTCGACCTTGGCCAAACGTCTCTGCGCCCCTCTGGGCCTCGGGCTTGAGAGGGCTTCAGGTTTAGGGTTTAGGGTTCAGGGGGTTCAGTGGGTTCAGGGCATGCTCGGATGCACAGAACTGCAGGTGCCGGCTGCCAGGCCCGATGAGCTAGAACTGGCCAGCATTTACAAACCGAGAAATCACGATAACCTGGTGTAAGGCTCTAAAAGAACCATCGTTGTACATATCAGGCCTGCAAGTAAGCCTCTCGCACCAAACCCTTGTAAACTAGATCTCAAGACTTGGAACGCAAAAGGAGCTCAAGATCGTGCAACATCGCTCCAACCACGGAGACTTCGGCGTCCATGGAGCTCGGGAATGCTTGGAAATTCCAGGCAACGACAATGTTCTACAATGCCCCAAGCTCCCGGACCTTGCGATTGAATTCCTCCTTCTCTTCGATCGTCCGCTCCCCGGACACCCGAGCCACCTGCAGTCATGTTCTACATGAAGTTGAAGTGCTGACGCAAGAGAGATTACCACCCTCAAGCATGCAAGATGCACTGGAGTAGAAAGCCGAAGGACACACCCTCCCAACTGCCAGTGCCTTGCGCTGCATGAGCTGCGACTGGAAGTCGACAGCGTACAACAGCTCCTGCTCCAAAGCTGGATGAATTCAAGGCTTTCGGGATGACTCATGGAAATAGATTGAAAGCCTTACATTTAGCTTTTTGTAATCTGGTCGCACAAGGACATCGGGTCGCTGAATGTATCACAGGGTACGCACAGCTTCCGAGCGATCAACATCGCGGCAATCAACAACATGTTGTTGCGACAAATCTGGCCATAGATGGGTATGCCGCTATACATGCGAAGATATCTTGTTCTACGTTGTTGGCTGGGCTATCAGAGGAGCTTGTTTCGATCGATGCACACGAGGCATGTCGGGAGAACTGCAGTGGCAAGCATGAGAGAAGCGGTGCCTGCCTAGCTGAGCCTTCATGGATGAAGCTCCCTCTTGCACGCTTACGGCATGGCCATCATCTGCAGGTGCGGAGACCAAAACGAAGATGATGTTTAGCCTGTCTCCATTCAAGTGCCTTCCAGATCCCTCAGTGCGGCTGACCTGCTGCCGCTGCCGCTCTTGGTCGAGCTTGCTAATCTGCAGCTGCAGGTTCTTGATTGCCGACCTCACGTTTTCGGCCGCCGATCGGCAAACTGCCAGCAGCACTCCATACACTCATAGACTCATAGATACTTCACGCAACACCTCAGCTGGGATACCCAAGCGTTCACGAAGAACCTCAACTAAAGGCAAGGTCATGCCAGGCCCGGGCTGTGCTCCGCTGATGGCTCCCAGGGTGGTCGCCTGGTGATCTCGCTTAATTCTTGTTAATCCATTTCTTGTCCTTGTCCGTTTAGCTGAGGGCTCTAGGACGTTGTGGTAACGGAACTCAGGTGCATGCCCCTATGGAGTGCGAGGGCTTCGAAGGGATGCTGTGGACCATCAAACCCTAAAGCACGACACGCACAACAAAATGCCGACGAGCCCTGTGCCTCTTCGGCCCGAAGGCGATAGAGCTCCTGGCTCTCTTTGTAGTGGCTTTCCTGGCGCCGTCGATGCTTTGAAATGTACGTTTCAGGATCGTTGTCAGGGTTTAGGGGTCAGAGTTTAGGAGTACGCCCGACTTTGGTGACCGAGGCTCTCGTTGCCTGGGTCTGCTTGGGGTGTTTCCTCACTGCCACGTGCGTAAGCCTGCTTGAGACATCGAGTTCCCGCGACAGGCGACTTTTCCCAAGAACTTGGCATCAAGGCTCTTTGATCGGTGTACGCCAAGTTTGACGATTGAGATTCATAACGCTTGTTTTCAATTTCGGGGATGTGCACTGCAATTGCCCCAGGATCACCTTCATCTGCCAAGAGCGTGCTCGATGCGGCTTCTGTGTCCGACGGGGCCTTGGCAGCTTTCATCTCCTTCTCCACCATCTTCCTCAGAAGCCACCCAAGTTCGAAAGCAACACAGCCCACAGGCGACGACGACGACGATAACGACAACAGCAGCAGCAGTAACAGCAACAGCAACAGCAACACCTACAAAACAACAGCGGCGACTACTACCATTGCTACCACAACTACCACTACCATTGCCTACCACTCACTCCAACACCACCACCACCCCTCCTCCTCCTGCTGCTGCTGCCACTACGACAACGACTACCACCATGACTACCACTACTCCTGCTACTACTACTGCGACTACTGACTACCACTGCTACTGCTACCTCTTATCTGCTACTGCTGCTACTGCTGCTACTCCTGCTAATCCTGCTACTCCTGCTACTCCTGCTACTCCTGCGACTACTACTACTACTACTACTACTACTACTACGACTACTACTACTACTTACTACTTACTACTTACTACTTACTACTTACTACTTACTACTTACTACTTACTACTTAGTACTTACTACTGCTACCTACTAATACACTAGCGATGGCAATGGTAAGTCTGACTCGTGTCACCACTCTCTTTGCGCTCCGAGGCACATGTTGTTGATCATCTCCTGCCTTGCTCGCTCTGCATCCTGGCCTTGGAAGCGGCGAAAAATGCATTCAGAACAACCACCAGTGTTTCGGGTTTGGCGTGCCCCGCTTTGTTGAATCATGAATCAAGAACCTTCGGGTGCTAAGGCTAGAAGGCTTGAGAGTTTAGGCTTCAGCGTGCACAGACATCAGTGTGCAGAGGTTTAGTTTAGTTCTTCGGGCTGGTCGAAACATGTAGAAGTAATTCGGCTGACTGGCGAAAAGTTACCCGGACTTGAAACACGTCCTTGTGACTGAACATGTCACCATTGCAGACGTCTCTGGTCAATTTGAGAGTTGAGGCTTCAACACAAACGCTGACACCCTGAACTCCTGCTGAGGCTGAGATGCCACAGGTCGTGGCTCCTGCTTTTTCAGTGCAAGACACTACGACACCAAACAAGAGACTGTCGTGCAAAACTGTGGCTCGCAGCTCATCTGCTCTTTGTTCCGCGTGGTGTCTTGGTGCTCCTGGAGAGCCTCGGTACTGGCAGGGCAAAAATACTGTTCCCCAATATGTTTCGTGCTTGCGGTTCACACCCAATCGGTACACGAGACACGAAGGCATCCTTGCAAAATCTGTTGCGACAACACGCTGTGATCTCTCCGCATACCAAAACAATTCTCGTCTGTTGACCCTGACAGAGACTAGGTTGGCCCTGTAAGCCCTCTGAACACGATCTTGAAAACACATCCTGCTTGTAAACCCAATGAGGGTGATTCACAAGTTTCGCAGAGGCACCGATACATGACATACACTACTACATGTACCCAACTATGTTTAATCATAGTTGAAATGTTCACGGTCGGAGCCACAGCACGGATAGTAGCTTAGAAAATGAGCATGCCCTCGTAAAAGCCGCAGCAGTGGCAGCTACCTCAGCAGCAAAGGAAAAGATTAAATGCAGGCTCGGCACTATATGTCCACCTACATATAGCCATAATGACGGCGTAGCACGCATCCCTTTTTCTCTGCTGTGCTCTGGTGCCTACTTGCTCCAAGTTGGAACCCACGCAAATCGGACTTCAGTCCTGACCGTGACCTACAGGGACCCAAGGTATTGGACAATACCATCATTTATAGAAAGAGCCTGCTCCTAAGTTTGGCGCATGTATACTGATACTGCATACCCCGCATTCTACGAATCCCAAAACTGTCGAAAAGTAGAAGCCGCAGGGCCCTCTTGTGCATCTCGAGCTGGCGGTATGCTTGCTCATGCCTTGGATCAGGGGTAGGCATTCCGGGTGACAACTCTAAAGCCTAGACCGAACCACCGATTTTTTTCTTCGCGAACGAGTCGTGTTTAGTTGGATCGGCAGAGCGCTGGGCCCGTCTTGACACTCACAGTTGCTCACCAACGGAAAGCGGAAGCTGAATAATGTAGGTGCCTGAATGGTAGAATAGTGGTTTGGGTTTATCACAATATAGGTGCTGCAATGGGATACTAGTGCCCGATGAATTTAAAAATACTCTGACCCTGTATTAGGGGATTGGTGCCGTCCAAAGCACTTCTCCCGCCGGCCTTCGAGGCGCGTGGCACCGACCTGCTGTAAACAAAGGCAGCATTTCAGTGAGGTCAGTGACCCCCGAGACTGTCTGCTCGGCCAGTCGGGTAGCTTTGGGTTCAGGAACTATCCACTTAAGAAGCCCACCTCACCCTGAAACCCTGATATCTCCAGATATTTGCCTGCGGACCGCAGCGCGGGCAGGACAACAGCTCGCAATGTATGTTTGCGATGCTACTGTAGCAGGTGCAATTAGAGCCAGCAGCTCTCCTGCTAGTCACTGCTTCCGAGAAGCGCCGATACCCTTCCCGGTTCAAGGAGATAGCCCAGCCAGAGTCCATTTCCGAACAGTCGAAGAGTACACTGGACTCTCAAGCTGAAGCCTTTTCCCGGAAGCTGGAGTCAAAAGCTCGAAGAGACGAAAATGAAGTGGCTCTGTTCCCTCGGAGTCGGTGCCTGGTGTTCGTTCGCAGTCCGATTTTTCTCGGAATGGCACGCGATGACCTGGTTCTTCATCACCTCGACCTGGCCATGGAAGCAATTTAGGGCGGAGACTGGCAGAGAACGCAGAGCCATTTCGACATGCGAGAATGGCAGCATGGACCCCATGAGATCGGTTTTGCTTTCGGCAGTGGTCTGGAGGCTTCAAACCAACAAAAATCCCTCAACCTCGAAAAGGGAGCATATCTGGAGAGACGTCACACCTGTTGCGTGTCGTAAGCAGTCTCCAGCTATGTCGGGACAGCGACGGAGTGGACCGTCACAGCGCCATCACGAACACAAGCAAGTCGCTGGCCTCGTCCTTGAAGCCCGTGAGGGATGTTTTCGCTTCCTTGAGCACAACGTCACAACGTGCATCTCGAAGCACACCTAAAAGCCTGCAGCCTTCAAGCGGTCATTGGCACATCCCCATTCCTTTTGCCGCGGCAGCTACTTTAAAGGATCATGGCACTGAGTAAGAAGGGTTATAACTAAGTTAACTATACTTACAACCCCAACTAGGGGACTTATAACCTTACTTACTAAGTCCCATATGATCCTCCAAGTATGGGGCTTCTCAACCTTCAGATGCCTACGTTTTTCTCAACCTCTCTGAGTCGACGGGCCATGTGGTCCATGCGCATGCGAACGAGCTGTCGGTCCTCAGAACATCTTGGAGTGCAGAGGGGGGGAGGTGGGGAACCATACCTATAGTCCCGAGCCCTGCGGAGCAGAATACGAGCCAAGGCCCTGAGAGCTAAAAAAATGGCAGACAACGGCCTGTCGGGGAGGATTCTGCTGTTCTTTCTGGCATTATGAAATCCTGACAAGTCAGGATACTTATATTCGGCTGCACCTATCCGAATCCGAAAAGGGGCTCTCCGGGTACCGGACAGTCTGCTGGATGGTCTGCTCCATCTTCTCGTTGTCTGCCTGTGACGCTTGGGCAAGTTTGGAGTTTGGACTTCAGGGACTTCAAAGCTTGGCTGTGGGATGTCGGGCTGGGGCTGGGACCTGAGAATCCGAGAAACAGACAGAAGGGCTGAGACTTTGGAGCTGAGAGGAAAAGAGCCGTGCCTAAATCTGAAGACTCCAACCAGTTCACACAGTTCACACGCCTCCACCTCATCGTGGAACTGCTTCCGCTCCTCCCGGCGTGGGCTGGTGCCCGTGGCATGGACATTTTGAGTGCAACGGCCTTTGATCCTGCAGGCTTCCACTTCGCGCCTTCATCTTGTCTTCCTTGACCTTCTTTCGGGTCATATTGGCCGCATACTCCTGGCCGGCATGGGAACAGGAAGCACCGGGAACTGCAAAAGCATGCGCTTGCACAGTGACAAGCTTCACAGGCCAGGACCGAAGACTTCTGTTTCGCTTGATCTCCCTTCGATTTCTCCAACGGAAATTTCTATCCAGGATCTGTCCGGCAGCGTCGTTCGACTTCGGAGGTGCTACTGACAAGACTGCGGAAATTCGTCTACGTGGCTCCAAGGGCTCCAACTTGCGTTCGAATTCATCTGCATGCTGCTCTCCTACGGACGGCCAGTCTTTGACACTGGATACAACTGAAGAAAGCTTGATACCGCATGGGAATGAGCTACCTTTGGAAACGTCGCGTATCGCTGGTCTCAGTCTCAAAGGTTCTGTAGCATGGAATAGTCTGTCCTAAAGCCCAAACTCCCTCAGTCTGAACTGGGTCTTAGAGTCTTCGGGCTTCTGAATATCAGGTCTGAGGCTCAATTTCCCGACTAGCGACCACAATCGACAAAGCCTCACCTGTAAGGAACCGACCTCAAGCGTATACCGTATACGGTGTCTGGCAACACCACAACCCGAAATCCCAACAACCCCCAGGGCAAAACCCTCAAAAACCTCGAACTGAAGACCAAAATGCCCTCTACCCTCTGTCCCCGATTCCCCACTAAAAGGCCTCACCAAGGCGTTCCAGTTGGGAGTCCCGGCTCTTCATATCTTGGTAAGGGTGAGCTTAGGGTATCTGTGTGAAGCTCTAAGTTCAGGGTTCGGAGTCTACGGTTTGGGGCTTCCAGCGCTTTCAGGCTTTCCTTGTTTAGGATGCTGTGGACTGGTGCAGGCCTGGATAGGTCATCCCACGTGAAACCTTGCGGCCAGAGAATCCGGGCCTTAGGGTTTAGGGTTTGAGTTTTGGGGTTTAGGGGCTCCAGGCTTCTTGGCCAAGTCACTCTTCACCGACTCCTCCCACTGCTCGATAATCCTGATTCAGATGTTCAGGGCTCAGCGGCAGACTGTGAACTGCATGGACCATGTCTACGGCTAGGTGATAGGTAGACATACCTGTATGCATAAATGTAATATAGACCCTTTGGCAGAAAAAAGAGATACAAAGGGAGAGGCTTCTTGTTTCGGTCGCCCTGTTCAGATCGGTTGATCGATGGTGATGAACGTTGGATTCCGCACCGAAGCTGAGGTCAACAGCAACAGGCAGCTCTTGAACCCTCGTGGAAGTCTGCTACTCTGGGCTGCTGTTGCTTTTTTATTCCGAACACTCGGGCTGCCGAAGCGAATTCGAGCCCAGGTAAACAGGTTACACAGACACTGGACTTCGCAATACGATGTGGACGTCGAAACACTCCAAAGCCTTCGCCTGCAACCGGATTAAGGCTATGGCTTCTTTCGATCGTCATGCAGCTGGCGGAACAGCTCTGCCGTCTTGTCCATTTCAATCTGCTTGGCCTTTGAACAATGCTGTTGGAGCGGGCTTGATGACTTCCGCTGCATGTCGCTCCAATGCGCATGTCGAATGCAGTCGGCAGGGGAACCCCAAGTGCCGGCCATGCAGCGCCTACATCATGCTTAGTCACTCACATACATTGCACTCGTCTTCTATCCCTCCCTGCAGTGGGGCTGGTGATGGAAGCTATCGACCTTCTCCAGGTGCAACGGCATTCTTGAACATACATGCCCCCTTATTGAAGCTGCAGATGCGGATGCGCACCTGCGTGTCGGTGACCAGGTCATCTAACTCTTTCCGCCGGTTGGCATTCTCAACCTGGGAGCTGGTATGGGGTTGGAACACGGCGACCCAATCCCCGAGCGCACCAGAACCGGAGGCGAAGATTGCAACCCTGAAAGCTGAGTGACACTTCATAAACGAATTCAAAGGCAGTTGACCTCTTGCTAATGCTGGTGGAGATCGGAAACATCTGAAGCAAATCACACTCGCTGCCACAGCCCTGCAGCAAATCTGCCAGGCACTACAGAGGCGTTCAGGTTTGGGTTTGGCATCTGTGGCCGCGGCGGTCAGTTTTTCCACCGTCAAAGTTAATTCACGCACCTGTCACAAGTGTGCACATCTGGAGGTTGATCTTAATTAGGAATCCCTATGGCTCGGCTGCCAGGTAAGCTTCCATCCTGCTTTAGTCTCAAAGGTTCCGCTGTTCCCGGTGCACAAACATCCGCACGAAGGGTTTGGGTAAAAGGGAAACTTCGGTTCGAGGTCTTGCGCCATGGGAAGCTGGAACGCTGCAGGCCCTACAGGGGCTCGGGGCTCAGACGCTCTTTTTTGCGCCCGCTCAGCGACGTGCCAACACACAGCCGGACGAGGGGGCACAGAAGCATCCCAGAGACTTTCATCCCATGGGAGCCCGTCTTCGAACGGCGATTAAAAGCCGGGTGAAGCTTGGCAGCTTCTGGGAGTGAGCTCCTTCCGCCCTACATGTTTGGGGAACCTTTAGAGGGGTAGGCAAGCAGGCTTGCTGAAGGCTTCTGGGATCGAGACAGCAACAAATGCAGTCTCTGGACACTAAACTCCAAAACCCGAAAGCCCAAACCGCTAATCCAACGCTGAGGGGCGTCTCTCTAACCCATAAAAAAAGGAATCAACGAGCTTTTTCGCTCGAACTCGAGGATCCTGGGGGTTCTCTCTACGCCACTTGACTTACGGTAACCACTTCTGTGGCACTACGGCCGCACTAGCACCATGATCTTGACTGCCATCGTCTTGGGGTTGCAGGGACAAGGCTGTACTTCGAAACAGGCCGCGGGACAGTGGCTCCGAGTCCTAGTATTTCTTTAACGTTTCCGGCCTGTCGTGCTTTCGGGCTTTAGGGATGGGGTTGCTCAGTTGCGCAGCGCTCTTGCCCAGAAGCTGCGGTCATCTGATGGCCAGCCAAACACCCAGCCGAAAGACGATTCCGGTCTCAAACGGTCAGACAGAGTGTATCTTCGGACCTGTCATTTCAGACCACCTTGCACCAATCAAACACAAAATTCCAAGAACCTTGTCTATCAGGAAGATCTAGACTAGAGCCGAGCATTAGCCCTGAACCCCCTGAACAACCTGAACCATCGGACCCTGATCACCTGAACCCCTCGTCCCCTTGTCAACCCCTAGAACTTCTAAACTCGCCCCCCATGATCTCTGAAGATCAGAAAGGCCAAAACTCCTGCGAGCCCCACGCAGGGTAGCGCTGGAGGCACAAGCTCAGACCATCAGGGTCTCGGCTTTCCAGGGGGCGCACTCCAGCTCCTGGCAGAGTTTCCCTTTAGGGGCTTAGGTTCACAAGGCTTTGTGTTTAGAACTTCCGGGTCGGGGTTTAAGGGAATTTGAAGATTTGGCAGTGAAGTGGTTTGGGGTGTAGGTGTGCGGAGTTGTACCCCAACGATGATTGCGATGATCGCGCCGTGATCTACGTGCCTTGAGGCCTTTTTTGTCCTTGCTCGCTTGCGGGATCGGATCGCCATTGTCTCCCAGGACTTCTGCATTTAAGGACGATTCCTGAACAAACGCAGCATCTCCCAGTCCTTGCAGAATTGGAGGTATGCCTGTCGCAAGAAGCTAGCAAAATCAATTGTTTAGTCAACTCTTCAGGCCAGTGACCTTACGAGATACTCGTAGCGAGGAGCCGTGTGCGAAGACGCATCAAAACATCCGGATGGTGCGATCTCGACAGAAGCTGCTGGACGCCTTTGAACAGGGACGTCAAGCTTACAACAGCCCTCTTTGCAATACGTTCCAGCCAGTCGGAATGGAAGGGGCTCCTCCAGCTTACTTGTTCTGTGAAGCCCTGTCCCAACGCTTTGGACCATGGAGGCCTCTCGCCATCTTTCACTCCCAACAAGCGTTTGCCCTTCCCAGCACTGGCCTCGAGCTCGCCCTTCCTTGTGGATAGTGCTTCGGGTTTAGAGCGTGTAGGTCCAGGTCGTTTTTGGGCGTGTGACTGGAAAGTCTGTTCCTCTTCAAGGCTCTCGGATTACGAGCTTCGGGCTCGCACTTGGATCCCGGATTGCACCTGTCACTTGTGACAGGTGACCGGCACAGCTGCTTTGTTGCGTCTGCCCACGTCAACGCGCGCGCCTACCTGCATCGACTCCTGTGCAATCTCATGGCCAACTTCTCCCCGCACGCTCTGAGTCGATAGTTGCTGCCGGGTCTCTCAGCACTCATCAGGGCAGTGTAGGTTGTGAGCCGATTGCGGTTTGGCCGCGCTGCCAACACGGAGAACAAACCTGTCAAGGGGGATCCGGGCTGAGGTATGGCAGGCCACGGACAGAACCACAGCGCATTCAGATACAGCTGTGGTCAAGTCCGCTAGCTTCACATCTCCTGACCTGGGAGCAAAGCTCACTCTGCATTCGTCAGATTGCACCCAAACGCGGAAAAAGCAAACCTGAACTTAAATCCTAAACGGCCCTAAACCTCAAAGGGGCCTGAGAAGGTGATGTTCTCATTGAAGCGCTCGGAGAGGCAGTGCTCCGCTGGGCTTCGGCGGTCATCAAAAAAGGGATCCTTGCCGAAGTCCTGGGCTCATCTCCCAGACTTCTTTCATAGACTTCATCTGGGTGGCTTGTAAAATAACACTAAACAATAACAATAATAATAACAATAATAACAATAGTAATAATCATAGTAATAATAGGTATAATAATAATAGTAGTAATAATAATAATAGTGATGATAATAATAATGATAATAATAATAATCTTGTAGAATTGTTAGGCTCTGTCAGCATCTCTGTTGCTTTCACGTTCCATGGTCTGGTGCCAATAGCGCAGACATCTACCAGCCCCTTCGGAGTCATGGTCTGGCTTTGTGTACAAGCAGTCCTTTCACATCGTCTCTCGCCTGCCAAGGCACCCAGTTGGTCTCGACCACCGAGTTTCTCCCCTTGGCAGCTTCATCCGCCAGCAGCCGCTCGCCCCTCGGCTCGGTGACTCTGACAAAGCAAATCATCTGAAACCACAATGCGGGCTCGGAGCGTTTGACTTCAGAAGTAAGAACCTTGGCGCTTGGCCCCAGGCCGCGGAAGCATCCATGCCAAGGCACACGACGTTCGTGGCGCTGCGCTCCAGGATCGCACCTTCTCCGCGTGCTGTGCCACCAATGATGACCTGGACACGTGGGACATCTGTGACCGGGCACGGTCACGACAGAGATGAGAGATACGCGGATGGCAGTGGTGATGATGATGACGATGACGACGAGGATGAGGCAAACAGGGTTCCCAGCGTGGTGATGTGCTCCTGCTCATCATGCTGCTGATGTCGACGAAGAAGAGGAGGAGCAGGACCACGACTACCACGACACTACGAACAAGAATGTTCGAGAGCGGGATCACAGCAGGCATTGTAGCAGCAGCAACAGTAGACACAGCGCCTGCTTCGGCCCCAGGAGCGGGGCCGGCAGATCCAGGGGCTCACGGCAAGAGAGCGGTTTTCAGACAGCTTCCAAGAAACCATGTCTTAGCAGCAGAGAGAGAGAGAGAGAGAGAGAGAGAGAGATAGAGAGAGAGAGGGGGGGACTCAAAAACACAGCATACGGTGGTTTCAAGCACTCAAAACATCCCGAAACTTTAAAGAACCTGAGTCACTTGCAAGCCCAAGGGCATAGGCGGGACCCAACAGCTTGGCATGGCGAATGGTGTCCAAAGCCTCCACTGGTCTTGGGAGCTTTTGGGGTTTAGGGCTTCGGAGATTTTATCAGTGTGTGTATATATATGTGTATATATATATATATATTACACAAAGTGTATGTCTTTATGTGTATATACATACATATATATATATATATACTGCATATATTTATGACTGGGGAAAATCCGACATCTGAGCCTCGTGACGGAGATCAAAGGGGTCTTTGGAAAGGCATCTGGAAACGGTCCAGAGACGACTGCAGCCGGCCTCCGGGTAGGTGGAGTTGTGAACCTTGGAGAAGGCACGGTTAAGGTTTTCAGGATTTTGGGGTTTAGGGTTTAGGGTTTTAGGATTTTAGGATTTTAGGGTTTAAGGTTTTAGGTTTTAGGGGTCGAAAGATCTGGGGAGCTTCCGGTTTTTAAGGGGTACCCGATTTTGGGGGATCCTTACTCATAAGGATCCTACTCTTTAGGGTACTACACCTTGGGGAAGGCACGGTTTAGGGCTTTAGGGTTTAGAGCTCAAAAGATGATTTGGGAGTTATACGGAAATAAGGTGTACCCTATTTTGGGGGATCCTTAATCATAAGGATCCTACGATTTAGGGTACTACAGTACAGGGTCCCCTATTTTCGGAAACCCTTATCTAAGAGTTGGCGTTTGGGTGAGTCGGGTTCAGGGTTTGAAGGATTTCCAACAATTTCAAATCATATTGCTGAAACCTTGAGCTACTTCCTGAGACGCGGAACCCGCAGCAGCCCAAACCCTAAACCCAACAACCCTCAACTCCCCTAATCCTGGACATCTCTGCCTTTCAGCTCTCCATGCCTCAAAGGCGTGTAACGTCTACAAGCTTCCGAAAATAACCTGTGGCAAAATCGGGAGCTCCCCCGACGACCTCTTGCACATCCTTTTTATATTTCGGGCCGAGGCACAAACACTTCGCGGAGCAGCCTTGGTATGCTAGATGCGAGGCGGGAAATTCGGGGTGCCGAGAGCCGCAGAGCGCTGCAACTTGTTCTCTTGCATGTGGCAAATCAGTTTCAGCATTTAAGCCTTGGCAGACAGCCGACTACAGCAGGGATCAAGTTCAGGCCACCAGTTTCAGACTTCGCGCAGGCAGTTGCAGCTGTGATGTTCTTGTAGACCTTCCGTTTCACAAGCAGCTCAGATGTCTGGCCCAGCTTGTCAAGAGTACGCAGGGGGACACTGTGGTGCGACGGCAGCAACAGCACCCATCGTGTTGTAAGAAGGTCCGAAGTGCTCAGACCTTCAAACCTCAGATTGAAGGCCTACAGCCGCAGACTCTCTGCTGAGGCGCAAGGACAAGAAGTTGCCAGAGCCCTTGCCCTCAAGGAAGGCAAGCAAGGCCGCCCAGTGGGTGCTGTCATACCTGTGCCAACTCTGTTTTCTTAGCACGTGTGTTGTCTCGCAAGAATGTTATTCCTGCTGCTGAAAATCTCGTCACCGCCATCACCATTATCTCCATCATCATCATCATCATCGGCAGCAGCATGTTCATGCAACCATTGTGATCAGTAGCTGTACGGTCATCATCGAGAACTCGCCACCATCCAATCTCCGTCACCCATGGCCATCACTACCATTCTCATCATGACCGTTCTCGTGGCCATCATTATGGTGGATATCAACAGCAACTCCATTGCAATGTGCATTTTGCTGTGCATGGTCATCACCGTCATCATCACCACGCAAAAGCACCATCCTCACGCAAAAGCACCATCTCATAATCAAACCATCTTTTTTCAGGTACCTGTACCTCTCACGTGGATCGGACTCGTCTCTGCCTCGTGTTCACGGTGACGGAGAAGCCTCCCTTCTTGACGGCGGTCAAGCTTCCGACGTAGCCTTGTGGAAGGTCAGGAGATACTCACTGTCAGCACTGTTTGGAGCTTATCCGCATTCGCTAAATCAGACTGTGATGGTCACGGCCTGGTGCCCTAGTGGCACAGCGTCGCCAGGATTGAAGCCGCTATGGAAATCTCCGCGGTGCTCATCGTTGTTGGTTTCACCAAAGGTCGTTAAAGATCTTACTACATGCTTATTGTACATATCTGTGGAACCACAAAGCTTAAACCTTTACAAAGTTGTGCCGCCTGGAAATCAAAGGAACCCTGCCCTAAACTGTAAATTGCTAAATCGCCAGCTAGGCAAGAAGCCCAGGAAGACGGTGGAGTCATAGAACCCTAAACCCTAAACCCTAAACCCTAAACCGCAAGAAGCCCAGGAAGACGGTGGAGTCATAGAGCGAAGCTTTTCCCCGCACAAAGTGGACGTTGCGAAGAAGGGGCCGGAGGTCCTCGGGCTTTGCAAAAGTTCTGCAAAAGGATCTATTGGGGTTTAGGGGTTTAGGGTTTAGGGTTTAGGGTTTAGGGTTTAGGGTTTAGGGTCTATTGGGGTCGAAGCTCTTCGCCTCTGACACTTCACGGCTTTCGCTCCTCTGTCAGCGTCCACTGCAGATGCTTCCAGTCTTCGCCTCCGGACAAAAGCCGGAAGGTTAATGCAGACTGCATCAAAGGCTAGCAGGCTTGCAGCTCATGTGATGATTAAGACTTACAACAAAAACACTGTAACTGCTGGTGCTTGGATACAGAACGGTAGGTAACATGAATCAAGCAAAGATCTCATGAAAGTTGCACTCCTGGGCAGCCTCGTCCCATGCTGAATGTCTGATACCCGAGTGTCACAATGTCTGATACCGAGTGTCACAGATCACAGCAAGCTGACGGCGATGTACGAGGACAGATGAACAACATGAAAAATGGTACATAATGATATCCGCATAGTAGCCACCTCCTTGCCATAAACGAGAGAGAATTGTTCGAACAAACATTGCACACACAGAGACGTAGGCACGTACCTACTGAAAGTACATACATACATGTGCATAGCGTGAATAAGAAATACACACCGGTGTGTACATGCGTGTATGCATGTATGTATGCATGTTCGTCCAAGTACTTCTTTCTAGTGGCCTGATACCGTGCTACAATTTAGGAAGTACAGGGAGCGATTCAAGTTGCGACGGCACATCAAGACGCAGGAGACGATGCAGCAATTTATGGACCCAAGTAGAAGCCGCAACTTGCAGAATTTTCCGCACATGGCGATGGAGACTCGCTCATCGCGGGCATCGAGGCCCGAGCCGAAGAAAAGCCCGAAGTCCAAATTCCTGCTCGGATTTTTGTTGTTGATAGTGGAGCGCGGGGAGCACCAGAGGGTCCATGTGAGTAGGGGTTCCTTCTTAGGCATCCCTTCTAGTTAGATATTTCGTGGCCTGTAGTGATAGTGCCCTCCCTTGCTTCAAACCGTCGCTTTCGGGTGCTCCAGCACAGCAAGCGCCAGCATGTGTTTTGTAAAGTCTTGGAGCCTTAAAGCCATCTAGGGTCATGATGATGCAAGTCATGATGATCTGATGAACGTCAGAAGCACTGCCGGAGCCGAAATCAACACGCGAACCGAACCAGATCGCCTGTCCTGCCATGTACCACATGGCCATCTGCATCTTGGGCGACAATGGAGGTGCACCCTCCCTCAATCTCATACCTGGGAGAAGGGTGGAGCCTTGCTGCCGAGATCGCTACTAGCACAACCCTTTCCGGGAAGAGAAAGCGGAGTAAGCTGCCAGCATCATGTTGACGAACAAAATCTCCTCCTCGGAGATGCCTCTTGGCTCAAGAGGGTACTTCAAGGAGGATCTGACCACTTCTCCTTCTAGAGTATCCTCTCTTTCCTCACTACGAAGCCCGACCGTTTAGCACACGCAAGAGATCTTTCCTCCACATCATGCATGGCGCACGGCGCACAGCACTCATCCCTAGGTCGGAAAATGTTACAGAAACCAAAAATGTCAGCGCCTGTGGCGTTAGCAATGCCGCGCATCTCGAGGCCGTACTCGCCTCAGCGTCTCCAGGAGCTGCTTGGCTCAGCATGACTAGTAAGGTACTCCCCTCCGACGTGACGTAGGAGGCCTCCAGCTGGTTTCAGCCCGTCTCCGATGCCCCTTGAGCTTCGAAGAGAAGGGACTAAGAAGCCTCGCCTCCTCCCACCGAGCTTCCGGCCCATGTCCGTCAAGACCTGCTCGGCCAGCTTCTTGAACTTCGGTGAGTCCTGGCAGCTTGAGAAGAGCCCTGCTTCGGTATCCCATCGCTGCATCGTACTTAGAACATCCGAAAGGGTTCAAGATCTTGAGCTTTGACCCTTCCTCAAGGAGGGCGCAACGCGTTTTGGGGGCAACAGACCAAATCTCATGGCCTCGATGAGCTTGAAGAGTTCCTCGGACAGCACGCCTGAGCTGTGCAACTTCGAGTATGCATGAAAGCGGCGTCGACGTCTGACATCACACTTGCCCGACATCCTGCACGGAAATTCTAAGGCCCCAGAAGCGCGACATGCCAGAATACGAGAGGTAAAAACGAAATCCAAAACCCAACGCTTGCGATAAGCATTTCTTTGAGTGGGTGGGCTGAGGTCTTGGCTTGCATCTAAACGTCTAGAATGAGGTAAGACCAACAACAAGCAACTGTGCCTATTCGTCCAGAGATATGGATCACCTCCAGCCCCACCCAACATGACACTGGGTGCTGCCGAAGTGACCTACGAAGGACTTGAAGTGAGTGATCATCTTCCTTGTTCAAGGAATCAAGATGTTGGGCTCGGGATCTTTCGAACATGTTTGGGGCGCCAGGCGCTTTTCGCGTTTATTGGGTGGGACCGGGAGGAGGGTGCGAAATTGTTACTTTCAGAGTGATTTGTGTTCAGGTCTTGTCGAACTCGGCCGGGTTGTGAGCTAAGGTTTGGAAAGGCAGAACGACGATGAGCAGCAGCTGCGGCACCAATGCTCGAAAGTCACTGTTCATCATTCCACTAAAGAACCGGCGCCAATGGCACACAGACTCGGAACTATAGCACACCGACTGTTGAGCTGAGCCTCTGTATCTGCAATCCCCATTTTGAAGAATTATGAAGAACTTATACCCTTCCAGTCACTTGGGCCAAACTCCTGAGCTCCCAAACCCATCGTTAACCGCGTGGCTTCAGGGGCTCCGCTGCGTTCTTCATAGCAGCAGCCCAGCGCTGCTCTGGCGGAAGGTCTAAGTCGACGACCTGAGTCCGCAGGAATAGACCTTAAATTATAGGGGCCTTAAAATTATGATTTAAGGTATATTCCTTAATTAAGGGGTATTGGGTTCTCTGGGGAATTCGAGATGACAAGGGCCGGCAAGCTCCAGTGGGAGAACCAAGCCTTGCACACTTTACCCTTCGACAAAGCTGGGGGTCCTGCCACCCAGCCGGGCACCATGTGGCTTGCGTTGCCCTGGAACAGGGCAGGAGGAAAGGTCGAGACTACTCGGCCGGAGCCCCTTGACATCCGGCCGCAAGCTCTGAATCAGTTGCACGCCCCCAATTGCATCCCCATTTGGCCCCGAGACAACGCTGCGCAAAAGGCCAACAGCGAAGCCAATCTGCAATCTGCTTGTGCCAGCCTTGAACTGGCCATAGTCCGGATCAGAAGGCTTGATGTGACAGCAGTGCGCATCCTCACGAAGCTCACATCTTTCCCTCGTATCCTTTCCAAAGGAACCTGCAGGAACTCTACATTTGCAGACGCTTGGGCCATGCGGGTGCACGGGTGCTTCATATTCGTGGGCGGTGCATCAGAAGCTGACCAAGCGTCGAAGTCGTGGCACTCCTGTCAGGATGTAAAGGGCGACTCCCTTCAGAATCTGTGGCCAAAAAACACCACTCAGGACCTCTGAGTCATGTCAAGTAGTACAGCATTGTACACACACAGAGACACCGACCGCTCCAACTCCGCAAAATCCCGGAGCTAAAGTTCCTTGCCGAAGACCAGGAGTGGCGTAAGCACTGGGAACAGCCGCAGGAACATGGCGGACGGCTCGGCTCTACTCTGCGGCTGCTTACTTAGGAGCAAGAAATGGGGCTCCTGACGCTGCAAAGCTGCGGAGTGACCGCCGGAGAAAAAGCAAGACATGTCTAGGAGGAATCCCGCTGTCAGTTCGGCATCAAGATCAAGGGATCGCTATCTGCTCTCCATGTCCAAGGTTCTCACTGGCGGGAATCGTCGGTTCGAATGTTGCTCGTTGAGAAGTATCGCACGACAAGCCACCCACGAAAGGTCCCAAGCAACCTGGCACACCCTGTAGATTGCTACGCATCGGGGACTCGGAGGTCTGAAGAATTCAGAGGCACTCGGCCCGCTCCCTTCACCGAGCCTTGGAATCATCAGCACGTCTGTATTTCTCGAGCGTCAGCTCGTCCTGTCACGCTTAGGGGGTAGATAGCCCCTAGGTCTGGGGTTGGATGTGGCATGATGATACCAGTATCTGTACAAGGGAGCCACCTCTTTTCGGATGCAGCGTTCTGCCGGCTGCATTCGGAAAAAACGCAAACTGTAGACACTAAAAGTCCTCCTCCTTCTGCCTTGCAGCTATAGCCCACTGCTCCAGCTCTTCTTGGTTCCAGTTCATCTCAAGCTTGAACCTGCGAGGGGCAGCCATGAACCGCTCAGCATAACAAGCAGACATGTTCGAGGAATGAAGTCGAAAGTGCAGACATCAAGAAGAGCATCAGAATTTCACATGTCGGCTCGGTCTGGTGAGCACACATGGTGCAATCGGAACTTTCCCAAGCCCCAAACCCTTAGTTGCTGTTAAGTGAAAATCCTCCCGGCCACCATCGCTTGCTAAGCTTCCTCTCAGGAGGGGATCCATCAGACTTCGGGTGAGACTCCAAACCGGAGTTTAAGTCAGAGGCGGAAACTACCCTGCTACAATTCAACAGATAACAACCCATCAGGACAAGACACTGCGTTCGATCATAGTGCGTGAATTAAGCGCCTCTGGCGCCGCATGAGAGTTCACTAAGTGCTAAACTGAGTTACACTCTAGCTCACACAGACACGCGGAGATGCTAACAAAAACACATGTACCTCATGATATGATACTGTTGTGCATAGAAGGTACACTGCACTATTTTTGAGAGTGAATGCTGAACACTATGGTAGGCGCTGAAAGGTCTCAACGTCCTCACACAACTGCATCAGCTGCCACAACTTGACATTCTGCTGTATCAGGGTCTTGTCAACATATGCCATGTTGAGGCAAGAGGCTTGCCTGTAAATCCTAAACCCACATTCTTTATCCACGCCAGTCAGGGGCGGCTCAGCGCGGCTTCCAGCATTGGCAGCCTGACATGGCAAAAGCCAGGGTATGCACGCAAATTCTGACGGTGGTTTCGATGGCGCTTCCATAGGTTTCGGATGATCTGGCCAACAGAAGCCAGGTGTCCATCACAACAACAAACCACTCCAGTGTTGAAAGTATAGTATGCTACAGGATGCAAGATTAGATCATGTCGGATTTCCACTTCCCGAATGCAGAGGTCATGAAGAATTGACTAGTACGATGACTTCCTGTTGGTAGCTTGGCCTTTGCGATCGTGCCGTTCTTACCAGCAAGCCAAACCTGCAAGTACGCCACGACCACTAAACCCCAAAACCCCCAAACCCCTGAAATCCTAGACTTTACACCCCAAGCCCGAAACCGTTGATCCTAAAGTCTGAACTCCGAGAGTCTTTTCCAGATCTCCACAGAGCAAAAGCCGGGCCATTGGACGGTCTCACGCTCGAGGGCACGAGGGGGTTGCAGGAGACACATGCTGCTTTGGCGGGTTTTGCGGTAAGGGTTTAGGGTTTAGCTTTCGGAGTTTTTGGGCTGTACGAATTAGAGTTAGAGTTTTGGGCGCGGGTGTAAGGTTTATCTTCTGAGGTGTGGCGTAGGGGCCAAACCTCCAGTGTGAGCATTAGCTAACCTCTACAGATCACTCAACCACCCTGTTGCTACTAAGTACTATGATCACTATGCTGTGCTTCTCGAGTGCTGCACTCAGACCCTGTATGGTTTGATCGCACATTTGGGCTTGAGAGCTGCGAAAGCCAGCTCACTCTGCGATCCAAACCACTTCGTCCTGCAACCCCTGCTAAAGGCGCCAACAGCACACCGATCTCGTTGTCTGTCGAAGATCCCAGATGAGTTTTCAGGATGAACTTGAACTTGAACTCCGACCCAAAACTATGCCCGAAACCACAAGACTTTAAACACAAAGCCCTGCACTTGGAAATGTCAGGCAGATAAAGCAATGACCCTTAAATACCCCCCCCCCTTTGAAGAGCCCCTGAAAGGAACCCTGTGCTAATTTATAATTGGCCCCGCATACCCTGCTGTCAATTTGCATCACACCATCTTCGACGAGGCTTGAAGCCTCAGGCTTCGAAATCCAGCGGTCATTGGCAGGACTGCAGATCTCTGCTGGCTCCCCGCTGCATCCGGAGAACACATGGGTTTAGGGTGTATGAGGCTTTGGGTTTAGAGTTCAGAGTCTAGGGACATGCGCTCTGCAAGTATGCAATGCTACCGGGATTACTCCTTGCCGACCGTATTCATCGACATCATGCGATGCTGTTGGCAAAAGATGTTGCGACACTGCGCTAGACTGCTCGAATCTGCATTAACGCAGGTGCTACATGACACCCTGCTGCAGCACCTGGGCTGCACTGCACTGCACAATGTCGTGTGATGCTGTGAAGTGAAAAGCAGGTTCTGCTTAGCACTACTCAGCAAAATGTCCCCTTTGCATCGCACTGGCTCCCACTGGCATACTTTCAAAGACGCACCTACATATAAATCACATGGTATGCGTTCCAGGCCACATGCCACATACTCATATGTATCTTTCCACCAAGGTACATGCACGTGCATGCTCACAAAACACACAAACATATGACCAGTTTCTACATGATGGCGTCTCACTTATGCTGAATATTCGCTTCGCTCTTTCGCTCGTCGCAAGCAACGTCTTACTACATACTTCCGTGGATTGCTGGGCTGTGGGTGCACTGCTTGTAGCTCAGAATGACGATGTGGCATGTGCATCAACTCTGCACGGACCCACATTGAGGATCAGCTTGACCAAAACGTGCCCGTGGCTAGAAATCAATTTGCTGTCTTTAGCAGGCGTACTCGTTGATCGACATCAAGAGCAACAAAACACGGACATCCTGTGGTGTGATATTCAAATTCATGAAAACGGAGTCTAGAGTCTGGCGGCTCCCTCTTGTACGACTTCTTCTTTCTCATGTCAAGCAGAGAGAGGGAGGGCATCTAACCTTCGCCAGGAGCCAACATCCCTACAAATCTCCGTGCGTATGTCTCACTCATCGGCACGGCCTCTGAATGTTCAATGAACCTCCCGAAGAAATACCTAACAGCGAGACATACATTCACTTTCAGTGAATGTTTCTGTGAGAAGAAATGTCAGAGAAAGTACTCTGCTTTCGCGCCTCAGCTCCTTGCATTGAGAACAGAATCTGGCGTTCGTGTTTTTGGTGGCACTTAGGCCGCTGTTCCAACCTGGACTTATACAAGCTTGATCACGAAAGAGAGGGGGAAAGAGAGAGCGAGGGAGAAAGACATAAAAGAGGCAAGAGGCAAAGAGTTTGCAAAGTCCAGCTACTCGTGCCCGACTCCAAGTCTAGAACTCGGAAAACCAGCCTGAATGTAACCCAAAGCGCTGAAAACCCTTGTCAAACTTCCTTGCTCGATCCTCGAAAGTGCACAGAGCTCCTGCTCAGTCTGCCTTCTTGAGGTCTTTGACAGCTTGAGAGAGCTTGAGGATAGATGCATTCAAGTCGTCCGGCATTGGCTCGCCCTGGTAAGGTGCGGGATTATGTTGCCCAAGGGTGAAGGAAGGACCTTCATCAAGAATAGCACAGGACATGCTCCGCATGTGTGGCAGTTTACTCCATGTGTTCACACGTACTTCTGCTTGCATTCAGAGTCGATGTAGATCGAACCTTCATGGCCCTGGGGTCTTCTCGAAACCATCGAATCTGGGCTCGGTGCTCTGGGTCGGTTTTGGAAGCCACCGAGACGCTCGAAAAATGATGATGAAAGTTACACTGCCGTCGGGTTTAGCCTTGCCCCCTCAGGCGGCAAAAAGTGCAGAGGCCACCCATACTCTGTCCGTTTGTCTATGGACCCAGGAAATGTGCTTCATTTGGGCATGCATTCTTACTTACCTACCTACCTACTGCCCTCTGCCTGCCTGCCTGCCTGCCGGCCTGCCTGCCTGCCTGCCGCACGAACTGACTGACTGACTGACTGACTGACTGACTGACTGTGATAGTGCTGTTCTCTCCATCTATCTATCTATCTATCTATCTATCTATCTATCTAATCTTATCTATCTATCTATTCAGTTCGTTAGCTACTTAGTTGGCTAGCTAGTTAGTTAGTTAGTTAGTTAGTTAGTTAGTTAGTTAGTTAGCTAGTTGGTTAGTTAGTTGGTTGGCTAGCTAGTTGGTTAGTTTGTTAGTTTGTTAGTTGGTTAAGTTGCCTATTTGGGTAGTTGGTTAGTTAGTTGGTTGGTTGGTTGGTTGGTTAGTTAGTTAGTTAGTTAGTTAGTTAGTTAGTGAGCTAGCGTCAGTGAGTCGGTGAGTTAGCTAGTTAGTTAGTTCGTTCGTTCGTTAGTTCGTTAGTTCGTTAGTTCGTTTTTTCGTTAGTTCGTTAGTTCCTTCCTTCCTTCCTTCCTTCCTTCCTTCCTTCCTTCCTTCCTTCCTTCCTTCCTTCCCTTCGTTTGTTCGTTCGTTACTGAGTTAGTTAGTTTAGTTAATTAGTCAGTCAGTTTGTCAGGCAGTCAGTCAGTTGGCTAGTTAGTTGTGCATGCATATATTTATTTAGGTATGCAGGCATCTAGGTGTAGGTATGTAGGTATGTGGGTATGTACCTATGTAGGTATGTAGCTATGTAGGTTTGTCGGTATGTATGTATGTATGTATGTATGTATGTATGTATGTATGTACCTGTACACACACACTGCTTACGGCCTATGTGCAGTACTGATATTCCTCATACATGAGAGGGGCATATATATATATATAGAGAGAGAGAGTCATTATACATACATTCAAACCTTGATTTGGTCAAGGAGTTGCCGTACTCTATCACGTCCAGAAAGTCAGGCTTGTGTCTGCTAGAGCTCTTAATCCGCTCGGGCCTGCGTGTGCGTCATGACCCACTGGGGGAGGATGCCTGCCTTCTCTGCCAAGGAATTGGGCTTCACGGCTTTGATACCTTGGTCAAGGGCATGCCGTTCCCGAACACCAGCTGCAACAGGATTCCGGCTGCACCTGGAAAAGTTCCCAGGCGCTGCCAAAGGCATGAACCCCGCAAATGCTTTCCGCCAGGGGGCACAAAGGAGTGGTCTTGAAAAAGTCCATACCCAGCGGCTTCGCATCGAAGTTGATGTTCTGATCATCGGGCAGACACAGCTTCCCATGCCAAGCCATCGAGCTTGACCAGATGCAGGACTTAAAATTTAGAAAGATGCTTATCCAACTGTGCCAGGATAGTGCAAACCACCCGCTTAACTCCAAGCAGGGATGCGTGGCGGGGCAGGTACCTGATCAGCAAACAGACCTTCCGACGACACAGGCCATGGATTCATTAGGACATGGGCTTTCGGCTGCTCCCTGTATCCGAACAGCAACAAGCGCTCAAAGGAGTCCAAGGCACCTTGACGCTTCCGTCCGGCAGCCTGGATTGTCTGGGACGCTCAGACCAAACTGCGAGCCATAATGGCCGTATAAGAGCAAGATGTGATAGGACAATCGAGGGCCATCGAGTGAAAAGTTGTAATACAGTATACTATATAGTAATTACAATCTAACGGTGCATTGTGATATCTAGTAGATGTATTCGACAGTCTAGTTCGCCCTCAGGTGGTTGGGGGGAATGGATAAGAATCTTGAAAGTTCAACCCTCTGAACAAGTGCCACGACACTCCCGAGTGAAGTTCGGTGAATGGCACATGTCTGACGGGGCAAGCAAAAAGACAACCCCTCACTTGCGGACACGAAAGGTGCACGGGGCAAGAAAGGCAAAAAAACAAAAGGCTGACTTGTGTACTGTATCTGCCTCAATAATTCGAACAGGGTTACACGGTATAGGTTTCGAACACCCGCTCCGTTTTAAGTTGTCTTCGGGACTCTTGGGTCCAAAATTCAGGCTGCAAAGCGCCCCTCGCCTCTAAAAGACCTCGCTTCAGGAAGAGTCCGAGGCTTTAGCAGCAAACTCGGAACCGGAGGAGAATCATCTAACTGAATCTAACTACTTCGATCGTAGCTCTCAGTTTGCCTGAAACCCAAGATCAGGCAACCCTTCAAGTCAAGCTAAGGCGCTTGAAGGTGAAGGTCACAGTGTTTGAGCTCAACTCAGGCGTCTCTGCAGCCGGCCTGAGCGAGGGAAGGTCTGTGAGGCCTCGGGTGGGTGGTGTTTCGGGGGTTGGAGGGCTTGGGGGCTTTCAGGGTTCTTTCGGCCCAGAGACCCTGGTACCAGGAAAGTGAAGTCACAAGCATCAAAACCCAAACCTTCAAGCCTAAACCTTAAGCCTGCGACGGCTTAAACTCAAGACATCCGAGCAGCTCTGCCGTACCTGCAGGTGTCTCTTGCAATGCCTTGGGAGCTGCCGGCTCGGGTGCCTCGACAGGTGTGGCTTGGGTTAATATACATATATATATATATATAGCATATAGCATATAGCATATGTATATATATATATATAGCATATATATATATATAGCATATATATATATATAGGTTTGGAGTGTCTGGCTTTACCTTGCAAGTTTCGGGCTTTGGTGATTCAGGGCTTCAGCTTTCTAGGATCGCTGGCATATCTGCCTACGCAGCTCATACTATAACTTGTCCCACAATGCCGATTGTCCTTGGAAGCTGCTGCGTTTTCATGACGATGACCGTGACGAGGCGTGAAACAATTCTGCGTCAGCGCGGACTGTGGCTACGGCTGCGCTAGGCTATGACTGCGACCATTGCCGTGAAGATTCTCACCAGACCTTTTTGCTAAGCTCCACTCGCAACGGCCCGGCCTGGTCCAGTGATTTCTCCTGCGCCAGCCTCGGTTGTGAAACTCGGACTTGGCTGACCGCAACCGCGACCATCTCTAGGGCCACGACCCCGACTATGACGACTGCCACGACTACGACACTACGACTACTGACTGCTACGATTGCTACGACTGCTACAACTACTACGAGCCACCCCCCTACCAACTACGCTTGTCAAACCAGGGTTCTGGACGCTCGAGTTTGCAAGGTCGACAAATGGATTTTGAGGCAACAAGAAGTGGTAGGACATTACGAAAGTACCGCAAATACCGAGTAACAGGCATGTCGCGCGATCGTTTCGTCATTGCCCCCCGAGCTCGAGTTTCCAAAGTCGACAAGTGCATGTTGAGGCAAGAAGAAGAAGAAGTGGTAGGACATTACGAAAGAGCCAGAAGTACCTAGTAAAATCGATGTGCTCTTTTGAGGATTTAGAGCAGGTTTAGATGGTTGGTGGGGGGGGGAGCCTGCCACGACTGCGGCTGCTGCTGCTGCTGCTGCTACTACTATTATTATTGTTATTATTGCTGCTACTACTACTACTACCACCACCACGACGACGACTACTACTACTCCTACTGCTGCTACTACTACTACTACTACTACTACTGCTACTGCTACTGCTACTGCTGCTACTACTGCTACCGCTGCTGCTGCTGCTACTACTACTACTACCTACTACTACTACTACTAC